AGGAAGATAATATTATTATGTGAGTCTGTGTATTTGTGTGTGTGCGTGTTCGTGTGCGCGTGTGAAAGAAAAAATAGGTATTAATCTATTTTAATATATTATTATGTTTATTGCTCGGCTGTTCGTTAAAAAAAAAAAAAATACATTCATACGATCATTTTTATAAAGACATTACGGACATTATATCGGTTGGTCCTTGGCCGAGGAAACAACCGCGATTTTTACCACGCATATAGTATACTCACTTGCTAAATAAATATGAAGACGTTTTTTTTTTTTTTTTAACTTATGATCGACTTTCGGCCCACTAACTCTTTCACTGCCGATATTTAAAAGTGGAACATCTCGTCAACGGGTTGACGAAAATTAAAAACGTATCAACAAAAATGTATTTAAACTAAAAACTATTTATTTATTTAAGGTTTAATAAAAACCAAAATAAGGGTGCTGGTTTTATCTCTAAAAAAAAACGGTGAAAAAATAAATACAACGTAACATTTTAGATTACACGGTTCTAAAAAGTTTTTACATAAATTTTTTTTTTTTTTGAAAAAAATAAGTATTTTACGGGAAATTTGACTGTAACATGATATTTGGAAGACCCTATGGTGAAATATGTCGTCAGTAGGAAACCGTTGGAGCAAGTTGTCCCTCCTGAATTTTTAATTTCTTAAATATTATTTTATTAAAACTAACTGAATGAAAAAAATCGTAATTGTTTTTTTTAATCGCCTTCACTGACCTGACCTAACCTTATCAGGGCAACGCCGGATATTGACAGTCACTATTCTGAGAAAAACGAAAAACATATTTAGAGCAGTGTTTTCCGTGAGACGACCGTTTACTTTACACTATACGCATGTACATTTTTTGTTTGTAAAAAAAATACGTATACGCGTATCGTTCACAAGAAACGTGATGTGGCTATAACGATGTAAACGTGAACGTGAACCTAATCCTTAGTACGGTACTAACGAGCGCCTCTACAGTGTATAATATTTAAATTCGTAAAACGATATCATTAAACGTCTGCAACTGAAGTTAATCCATTGAATAAATTCCGGAAGTCGCGTACTACTCAATCATGTTTAATAGATTATTATCGTCGCTGTATAGTAAACCTATACTGGCAAAATTCAGAACGAAACTTCACCACTAAAAATTTCATTCATTCGGATACCTAATGAAACGCTAGTTTACTTGATTATAATAAAACAATCAGCTGGAGGTTTTTAACGTCCGTAATCAGACGTAACACATTTATGACTTGTTCGTGTAAATTTGCTCAAAGATAAAAAGCACTCACTTAAATAGCGAGCAACATTGAAATGAAAATATGGTCGAAATAATGGAATTTTATACGAAATACTGTCGGCGAAACGACGAAATCGATGCGAATGAGACGATGGAACGGCGAGAACAAATAAAAAAAAAATAGCTATATGGCTTTATTTTCTTTCAATTACGTTATGTCGGCAGGCACACACCGCCGCAATAAATGTGCTGAGTGTTGACCAACATACCTAATATTATTATTATTATTATTATTTTTTTTTTTATTTGCTTTTCCAATGTAGAAATCGCACACTGCTATATAGATACACCTATTTAGATTTTAGATAATTTGTTCGATTTCCAAAATATACCGATAAGGCACGTATAGGTAAAAATGTAGAGCATTACGGGTCAGGTTAGTTTAGGCAATTTACAAAAAAAAAAAAAACCTATAGAAGAAGTGCTTTAAATAAATCAATGAAGTTCTAAAAACCTTTATAAAAAGGACTGTATTTTAAAAAAGAAAAGAGCTTAATATACTACTGACGTGTGTGCCACTGTTGAACGTAGATGGGTAGTAAAAAACAAATGGACTTACTTCACACGATGGGTGGTTCACTGTTGTAGGTGAGATTTTGGGAAGATAGAGGGGAAATCAAAGCGCATCGCAAACGAAAAACGATTCTGAGCGTTTTGAAGAGGCCATAATATTGGCGGTTTTAAAATAATACATTTCGTACATTTTCCTACGTTTTACTTCATTTATTATGAAAACCCCTAGGAAAATTAAAAAATGACCTATTTAACGTACCACTCCAGTCAGTTTCAAAAAAAGTGCTACACTTAAAAATTGGAGCACAATATCTGGTAAAAAAATTGTTTACAAATAAAAAAATTAAAAAAAATAAACACCAGTGTAAGACCTTTTTCTTGCTTCGCTCAAAAACTAAAACGGTTGAATTTATTAAACTTACATTATGAAGAATATTTTACTTTACAATTTGTATGGATGTCGTGCAACAGCAATTAAGATACAACCTAAAAATGAACAAAAGTTAATACGCAGCGATAATTAAAGAATTATTTTCATCAAACGAAAACTTCATCTGATTTATCGAAAAAAATGTTTGTTTCGCATTCGCACAATTCGATCTTTATGGTATGCATGATATAAAACTGCGTAAGTACGTTTTTTATGAATGCATTAAAATAATAAAAACCGTTTAAAGATACATGTCACTCGATAATATTATATTTATCTACAAGTGATCGAAATTCAATACAACAAATATGTTCGCAAAAACGGTCAAACGTTTAAATTTACTAAACTCGAAGCATAAATTTTAAATCTGAATAAACATTTTCAGAACCGAGCCGAGAAAAAAACAAATTGAAATAGTTGTATAGAACCACGCACTATGGTACGTTCACGAAACTATATGAAAGATATTATCAGAAACACGCAGAGAAAAAACAATTTCACTTCTTAAGTTTGGCATTTATATATTCAAAATATTTTTTTCAAAAATTCAATGCGTGTAATTTTCATTTCGATTTACGGTATAATATCATACTGCAATATCGGTTCCGGACATTTTCGGACGATAAACACCAAAGCAATTATTATTATTCTCGAGTTTCTTGAAAGTTTTACACTATTTTTCCAAAACGCGTAATAATTGCTCCGTGAATCCGTCTATAATAATTTATTGCTATCTACCTACGATATACTATTCTTATTTCTATTACTAATTATTATTTTTCACGTACTACTTATTAACAAACATTAATTTTAATCTATTAGAAAATAGAAATTAATCCGCTCGAACGTGTGCAGATTGAAAATGACGATAAAGCGTGAGAAAAATTAAGCCAATACTATGACGGTTCTCAAAGAAAAAGGAACGACGATCCTTTTTTTTTTTTTTTTAAGTTTTTTCGTCCACGCACAATTCTTAAAAAACTTTCTTCAACAATTAACATTTTAAAAAAAAAAAAAGTCTTACGTACATTTAACCGTGAGTAGACTACTAGTTGTTATATAGGTGAAAAGTATAAAAGATAGATATATAGGGTTGGGTAATTTAATAAATATACACACCGGAATCGACGATTCATCTTTGCAATCACAAAGCTATTCTGAGCGGAGCTTGGTAAACTGGTAAGGATTTTTCCATTGTAGTCAACAATAGTCAATCCAGAAATCAAGAAAATTAAAACCAAAGTTATTTGATGTCTGTTTTTTTTTTTTAATTTTTTAGAAAAAATTATCTAGTAAATTGAATTTATAGTAAAACTAAATATACACTGAGTACCTAAAATTGAATAAATCCATAGAAATTGTGGCCGCTGTTTTACTCGAATACATATTGAAATAAAATTACAATATTAGAATTTAGCGTATTGAAAACGTTCTAAATATATTTGCGTTTAAAATATACGAGATATATTTGGGTGATATCATTTTTGACATCTATCAACTCGTTGACAAGATACTCCACTTTTAAGATTGCGTAGAATAATAGTGGAGCAATATTTTCATGACAGCGTTTGAATAATGATCCAATAATCTCCGCTATCCAAACGTAAAATTGAAATCGAAGTTTTATTCCTGCAACTCTTAAAATAACACAAATAATTTAGTTAGCTACTATTGCTGTAACACAGTAGGCACCTAATACAATCTGTTCGTAAGAAGCGTTCGTACGAGATTTGTAAGCTCCGATAGTACATTTCGTTTTGCTAAAAGATCCTTAATCCACCAACGTCGTCTTTGGCGAATATTTTTTTATCGTTTTCTAGGTAGTTTTCTGTCGACATAATAAACGCAGGTGTCGCTGCGGTTTCATCGTCCATGGTTGAAAGTTGAAACCAAGCTAACACAGTTAAAATAGCAGTGGAAACATGGTGTAAGTTTCAGACAATGTTCTGTGCGACGTTGTCCGATTGGCCATTCAGTTGGTCGTTTTCTTTCTCGTAAGGTCAAACGCGCGGTTAAAAGTATGTTTCCGTACGGCGTATAACTGGAAAAATTTGTTGCAACGCTCCCGTTGTTACTCATTTATGCGTGTAGGCTATTCCGCACGCCCATTCATTACTACCTTGATTACCTATGATGGTACATGACTTGATGCAAGTTACTATGAATTCGATTACACGACACCGCGGTTGTAGGCGATACACGGTATTATACTCGACTCATTACTGCCGAAACACAAATGTTCAACAATATTATTCGATTATAACAATAAAAAACTAACATTAAACATCGAACGGTTTAATGCGATTTCATTGTACAGTGCACTGGAAAAGTCGTATTTGTTTTCAGTTTAAAAAAACGATTTGAAAAATGTTAAGCACGGAACGATTAGGTATTAGGTAAAAATGTTTCGGAACGTATTGTGTGCAAACATCGCGAAACCCGGCTTTTCGCGTGTTGGCGACTGCAGGCGCTGGTTTTCGTACGGGACCGTAAGTAGTTTAAGGGTCAGGCGGTAAAAACGAACCTTGTCGACAAACGCATACGGAATGGTACGGCGAAAAGGGACGAACGTACGGTAACCGTGTGTTTGCGGAACGCGCGGTTTATACCTATACTTGGGTAGTGTATATAGGTGTATCGCAATAATATTATACTAATACCGTTCGGTCCGCTATTCCGGTGGCCGAACCGAAAGAATCTCGCGCCGAGGCCGCTCTATATTTTATGCGGCGCACAATATACGCGGAAACGAGCGGGTCGTCACGAATTAGATAGTCGTGTGTACGCGTTGTTATTATTATTTATTTATTTATTATTATAAATATCGCGTGTACTTGTATATTATAATATTTGTGTGTGTGTGTGTGTGTGTGTCTACACTCGCACGCACGCCAACTTCGTTATCCGAGACCATAAATCTTGAATGTCGCATTATTGCCTCCAAAAAGGTGAAAACTGCAACGTCGTCGGTCGTTATTTGAAAAAAAAAAAACTATACCTACAAAACCGCTTGCACAAGAATTTTTACCTATTTCGAGACCGGGATCTGTGCGATAAGGAAGGGAGAGGGGGGGAGGTTACAGTGGCGTATTTAGGGGTACAGGAAGGGAGTGACTTAGAAGTAACAACATTTTTTTCACCGTACGTTATTACATACCAATTATTACGACTTACAAAACAATAATAAACTAATTTTTTTTAATTTTTTTCAACATGGAAATAATAGGCAATAGTGCTAAGCAAATTAGTGAATGAAGAATGAGGAAGGGGGTAAAGCACTAAGCTCATCACGACTTTATGATAAATCAATGATAATATCTGTAGGAGAATATTATAAGAACACATGCCAAAAAAATTAAAATTACGCCACGTGAGGGAGTAGTTCTTTGACACCCATACCCCCCCCCTTGAAAAACTTGGAAATTTAGACCATACATAAACGGAAATTCAATGATAATTTACAATAATTCAATGAAAATTCGGCTTCATAATATTATTACTATCGTTAAATTACTATAACTTATCATGATATAAAATAATAGGCAAAAATATTCTTTGAAATCGATAAATTTGATATTTATTTGGAATCGGGAAATATTTCACACCCTCTGTTGATTTTTAATAATTATCAGCTATATCCTAGATAAACTACAGGTAACTGCGCTCTTGAGTGTGTATGCGAAACCAATTTTTTTTTTTTATGTACCCCGAACAAATATCAGGAATGTATTGATATTACTACAATTTGGGCATTGGACATTTACCCCTCTCTCAAGGCTCCTAACACGTTGCATAGTATGATTTTTTTTTCTTATTGTAGTAGTATGTATATTAGACTAACCTAGATTTATATATGCTTGAGATTTTCTTGATAAATTAAAACTATCTACCCTCCCCCTCCTCTCAATTTAAATAATTAATAACATTTTTTTTAAAAAAAAAAAAAACTTAATTAAAACAGTTAAATAATATTATAGTCGTTTCAAGTATTGTGTGTTATATAATAATATAATAATATTTATTATATAATAATAATTATTATTATTATAGTGGAGATGGTATTATAGAGGTACATCGTATACAAAAAAGAAATTTTTCTATTCTTATTATTTTTTTTATGAAAATAGACACCTGTATACCTAAAAGCCGTTACCGTCATGTTATTTCTTAAATATGTTTTTATACAGGTAAGAGGGCGGATGAAAAAAAAACGCGAAGTAGTAAAAATATAAGACTTCCTGTGATTCTCTTTTTTTTTTTTTTGTCATTTAAAAGTCTTCCAGTTATTTTTCAAATTAATTGTACTAACGATCTGTAACTATTATTATTATTATTATTATTATTATTATTATACACATCAGACGAAAATATGTGACTAGCTATATATTTAAAATGTCTGTAACTAATTCGAAATTGACACGTTTCTTAAAATTGCATAGTTTGAAAAGCAAAAAAAAAAAAAAAAAAATAAAATCGGTATTGATATGAGTGTCGACTTAAAAGGAAAAAGAAAAGTGCCCGTTCTAAATACATCGATTTTGCATTCGTTTGAAACACACATTATTTTCACATATACTCGGTCTACACTCGTACTATAAATTTAGCGAGGAAAATAAAAATGTTTAATCAAATATTAATATTGTATAGGTACTCAATATATAAAATAACGAAATTGTTTTATTCAATGTGCAATGAATGAGAACAGATGCATTAAAATGGGGGGAAGGACGGGATTGGGGATATATATCCCTCCCTTTAATATTTATACTAATATTTATTATACAAATAAATTAACGTAAATACAAATAATTGTTTAAAAAATTAGCGTGGTCCCCCTCTCCCCCCATGACAAAATCATTTGATCACCGCTGAATACGTATACAATATATTGATAGTTTTGTGATTAAACAATTTAAACATCTAACTCTTCCTTCTACGAGTATGACATTCAATTCGAACATTAATTGTTCAATGTTTTAATTACAAAATTGTATATAATATAATCACGAAAAAACGTGATGGACGTCATTACTTACAGTGATAAATATCTTTCCAATTATGAACTAATCCAGTAGCGTAGTAACAGTGACCGATCAGATCGAAATTCTCCCCGTATGTTTTTCGTGAACACTTCTTTTAAAAAAAACCGTCAAACTTGATAACTCTCATTGCACAAGAAAATCTTGGCTACGTTCCAAAACTAATTCGTTCGTCTCATTTAACTTAATTTTTTAAACGTCCGCTCAAATAAAAACTCAATATAATATATATAAAACGCTCAAATTAGTATTTATGCAATTCAATTCTATAAAACCGGGTTTGAATTATAAAAACCGAGAGAGAGAAAATAAATAACTCCGAGTTAATAGGACGGATCACACGTCATAATATTATTGTGTTATCGTTGAATATAACGACTCCTAAGTTTGATACTTATTTTTCAATTATTTGTATGCTTATGTAGAGTAAGTATAAAATGTTCGAAGGTGAGGAAACAAAAATGTTTATCATCGGTCTTCGTAAAATTATTTTTTACTTCTTTTTCTTCTCCTTCTCCCACGTTAAAAAGTGCTTATACACTCTCATGATGAACTTGAATTCTACTAAATAGGTGTGTGAATCTTAAAATCTGCACTAGTACCACATTTTTGAAAATTTGAAATTTGAAATTTGAAGTTTATTTCATAAACTTTTTTTTTTCCATAAATAATTATCATTTGAAATCAAACCTAAAAATATACTATTATTTGGGTCAATAATACAATCGCATCAACAAGTCATAAAAACAACACTGTTATGTATTATATTGTTTCTATTGTTTTCGAGCAATTCTAAAGAAAAAGAAAACAATAAAATCGAATCCTTGCACTTTCAATAACAATCTCATTTTCTATCGAATTATTCATTATGACAATCGCAGTCCTAAATGTTATCGAATTTAGAAAACTCGTAGGACCTATATTGAAATGCATTTTAATAAATTCGATTACAAATATTATCTTGATTGGATACATCTAAGGATAAGGCCGCGTTGCGGGTCCAGAAAAAATTGGATAGTTGGTGTAGAAGAGCATTTGACTGTAAGTGCTGGGTGTAGTAAATTGAAATAATCTGATGCAAGAGATAAGACGAGTAACGTTGCCATCCCTATTCTATACCATTCTCGCATGTGAACATTTCAACGCACTTTGATATTATTATTGCCATCATCGTTTTCGTCCTTATTCGTTATTATTTACGCTATATTTATTTAAAAGAATTTAGATAATTTCGATAACAATATCACACTATAAGTACACCATAATATACATACATATGTGTGTGTGTGTGTACACACCTATATTTTGGTAATTTATCTCATTTGTTTATAATAATAAGTATGCAGATGGTATTTAAGTATAGACAATCATAAAATATCAATTTGGTTCGGTGTTTTCATTTTTTTTTTTTTTATACAGTGTGTAGTAGATAATATACGTATTCATATTCCGTATAAAAACACAACGTAATATGGGTGCGTAAACGTACCTACTTGATTAACAGTTATTTAATTGTACTTATGTTTATAAAAATAATAGACGGTTATGGTTCAGCGTAACCTAAACTACTTATAATATAACACCGGAGAGGAAGTGGGAATAGTTATTTTGAGTCGTTTTTACGGAATACGTCACTTAGCGTTTGAATTATGCTCGAGACGACGCTGATGGTGCGGTTGTGAAAATTTCGAAAGGATTTCACTCTTTGCCGACCGAAAACGTGGGTCCCGTATACGGAATCTAAAACACTGCGTTAGGTGTGGGCGAGTACCTCTATATGTATGTATACGGGGGAAAAAAATCGCGATAAATGATCGAATCCGTTTACGGCCTACGGGCCACAATAATTTATAAATACGCTCTACCTTTATTACGGTTATACGGTATCGAGAAATTATCGCAGGGAATGGTGTAACGCCGACGTTTTTATGCATAATATTATAATACATTATAACGTTCGTCGTCACGACGAGACGCCGAGAACCGATTATAAGCCTCCGATCCCGCGGTGGTGTCGGATACTATGCCGCGCGCGCCGATAACTGCACGGTATTACGGACCCGGCAATAACGTCGATGGATGAGACCCATATAATTTGTGCCGTACGTTATTATACTTTCTCGTGACGATATGATATATATATATAAATAGAGAGAGAGAGAGAGAGAGAGAGAGAGAGACAGAGACAGAGACAGAGAGATAATAGGTTCTGTATTATATAGATATACCTACATCTAAAGTGCTCAGTTTAAGTATAATATTACGCGTTTCTTAAAATGTGCGTATTTTATTTTTTTTTTTCCCCGCTTTTTTATGACTTTTCCGGCGCGCTTCTCGGCCGACACCTTCGGGTATATTATACGGGTATGCGTGGCGTTCCCGATAGTGTAGGTATGCCTATATCATTATACGAGTACGTTTTCTGACGTCAGCGTAAGTACGAAATGCGTGTAGACGTATCATAATGTGAGAGAGAAAAAAATTATAATAACGATCCAATGAACTTCGTTACTTACACCAGATTCACGCGTGCCTCGTATATAATAACACGCGCGTTTCTGTATATTATATATAGGTTCCAAACTGTTTTGTTGGTGAAAAAAAAGAAAAAATGATGCGCAATTCAAACCTACCCATTATCTTCTCGTTTTCAATCGTTAAATTAGTTACTGCAGTTCGCCATACTTCTCGTTCGAAACTCAATTCCTTTAACCCCTTGTAACTACATCCTCATTCGTGTCTGCGGTCATGATTTGTTTCATGAATTCCGTCCTCGATATTACTCATCCGATATTGACAAAATTCGAAATTTTCGAGACATAGTAGATCATTTTAATCCTTCTCATTTGTATACAATGCCAAAATTCTC